AGTTTAATTTTGTGTTCTGAAAGGTGCCTGAATTTGTGTGTTAGTTCTAACTCCCTATGTGTGTAGTTTATATTATCTGTGTATATGCAAATGTCATACGTTAATAGAAACAATTTTGTTTCTGTCTTCAAGTTTAAATGTCCTTCATTTGCTTCATGAATGAGTACTCTGACTATCTATGGACTGAATTTTGTCTCCTCCCCAAATTTATATATTGAGGCCTTAATCCCAAAGTGGTGGCATTGCAGGTGTTCCTTGCCAGAAACGGTATTGAGCTGTGTCATATGTTTTGGGCATCGCCTGAAATAATCATTTCTCCTTCATTCTGTTAACTTGGTGCATCACACACTGATGTTCACACACTGAAGAGTCTCTGCACTGCATGACTAAAATCCCATCCTTATGTGCTGTCGGATGTGGCTTGGTAGTATTTTATGGAGCGTATCTGCATTAATAGTCACAAAGGATATTCAGTATTCTCTGGTTTGGCTATCAGAGAAATACTTACCTCTTAGAATGAGTTAGAACTCTTCAAATTTTTGGAAGAGATAGAGAAAGTCTGGTGCTGTTTCTTCCTACATATTTGGTAGGTTGTATCACTGCGGCCATCTGGTCCTAGGCTCTGCTTTGATTGGAAGTTTTTGATTATTGATTAAGTCTCCTTGCAACCTGTAGGTCTATTAAAAATGTCTATTTCTTCATGACTTCCTGCATCACTGGGAAAAAATAAAGACCACCCAAAATGTAAAGGAGGAGAGGCTTATTTCGCTCATGTTTTGATCAGCTGGTTTCAAGGCAGAAACCTTGGTGGAAGCGCTTGGGCAGAGGACAGTTGCTCATCTTATGACAGCTCTTCCATGTCACACCCAGTGACCACCTGCAATCAGTCCCCACGCCCTAACAGCAAGTACACCACTGGTCCCTGCGATCTGATCACTTTCCAAACACAGGAGGTTTGGGGGACACAACCTAGGTAGGTATTGTGTCCCTCGGATTTCTGTCCATTTCGTCTAGGTCATCCGGTTTGTTGTGTCCAGTTGCTTGTAGTAAGATTTCATAATCCTCTACATTTCTGTAGAATTGGAAATCATGCTCCCACTTTCATTTCTGATTTTTACTAATCTTAGTCTTCTCTATTTTATTCTTAGTCCAGCTAAAGGTTTGTTGATTTTGTCGATTTTTTTTTAAGAGCCAACTTCTGGCTTCACTGATTTTTTCTATTGTTTTTCGATTCTCTATTTAATTTATCTCTGCTCTAATCTTTATTATGACTTATCCTCTGCCAGGTTTGGGGTTAGTTTGTTCTTCTTTTTTTCTAGTTCCTTAAAGTGTAAATTTAGATTGTTGATTTGAAATCTTTCTTCTCTTTTAATGTAAGCATTTACAGCTATAATTTTCCCTTTCAGCAGTATTTTTACATGTCTTATAAGTTTTAGCACATTGTGTTTTAATATTTATTCATATCTAAATTTTTTCTGATTTATCTTGTCATTTCTTCTTTGATTCATTGGTTAAGGGTGTGTTTTTAAATATCCACCTATTTGTGACTTATTCAGGTACTGATTTCTAATTTCAAGTTGTAGTCAGAGGAGAGACTTTGTATAATATCAATCTGATTAGCTCTAGAGAGTGTAATTTTGTTGCCTGACATGCAGCCTATTGTGGAAAATCTCAAAAGTGCATTTGAAAAGAATGTGCAGACTACTTGGTTTGGGTGGGGTGCTTTGTGTGTCTGTTGGGCCTGGTTGGCCTGTTGTGCTATCCACATCCTCTTTTTTGGCTCATCTTCTGTCTAGGGGTTCTAGTCATTGTTGAAGCCTCCAACTATTCTGATATAACTGGCAATTTCTCCCTTCACAGAAGTTTATTTTTGCTTCACATGCTTTGGGAGTTTGTTGTTACATGTGTAAATATTATATCACATTGCTGTATTGAAACTTTTTTAACATATAATATCCTTCTTTGTCTCACAAATTTTTTATTTGTCTATTTTGAATGATATTAGTGTGCCCACCCCTACTTTCTTTTGATTATTATTTGTATGGAATATCTATTGTCACCCTTTTACTGTCAAAGTTTTGTGTGTTGAGATCTAAAACCCCTATAGGTAGCCTATAGGTGGATTATTTTAAAAATCCATTTTCATTTCAGAGTTTAATCTATTTACGTTTAGAGAATTTACATAAGGAGGGAATTACTTCTGCCAAATTCAAATCTTTACAAAGTTTATAGCTTTTATATTTCTTATTTTCTACATTAGTGCCTTCTTTTGCATTTAGTTGATTTTTGTAGTGAAACACTTTAATTGCTTTTTAATTTTATTTGTGGTTACTATGAAAATTATATTTAGTATGTCAAATTTTAACTGTAATTTGAATTAATATTTAACAGCTTAAGGTGAATAGCATGCAAAATCTCTGCCACTATACAACTCTCTCCATCTTTCAGTTATTTGTATCACAAATTATATAGGGTCACAGCAAATGAATAATAATTGGTTTTCATTTTCTTTTTTAGATTATATACAGAAACTACAAATGGAGTTACAAAGTGGTAATTATGCAAGCTTTTTATGATTGTTCATGTAAATGACTTTTACTAGGGCTTTTTATTTCTTGATGTGACTTTAAGTTCCTTTCCAATATTCTTTCATTTCACCCTGAGGGACTTTCTTTTGCATTACAAGCTCTCGCTTTCCTTTGTCTGGGACCATCTTAGTATCCCCTTCAGTTTTGAAAAAAGAGATTTGGCAAATGTAGAATGGCTAGTGGGCATGCCTCTTCTAGCAACAGTTTGAACGTATCACCCCACTGCATTCTAATTTCCAAGGCTTTTGGTAGGAAATATGCAGAAATCCTTAATGATAATCCTTTCTACAGAGATAGTAGTTTCTTCTTATCAACATGAATTAACTGCATAAATTAATGGGCTTTGCTGTGACATTCTCATATGCACATGTACCACACGTTGATATGCCCATCCTCCCTTCTCCCTCTCTGAGCATCACCTAAGCCCCACCTTCACCCTCTTTCTCATTCCTACCAGTTTCTCCTGTGCTTTGGGGTCAAAGCCTGTCTCTTTTACTGTTTTCCATATTTCTTTCTTTGGCTCTCAACATTTTGATTACAATGTGTTTTGGTGTGGATTTCTGTGAGTTCATCACAGTTAGATTTCATTCTGAGTTTCTTGGACTTGCAGGTTCATGTCTTGCTTCTGATTTGGACTTTTGGGGCCTCTATTCCATTAAATATCTCTCTTCCCTTTCACCCACTCTTCACCTTCTGGAACTCCCATAATGTATGTGTTGCTCTGTTTGACAATGTACCACAGGTTTCTTAGGCTCTATTTACTTTTCTTCAATATTTTTTTTTCTTTTCCTGACTCAATAATTTCAATTGTTCTAACTTCAAGAGCGCCAATTCTTTCTTCTACCAGCTCATATCTGCTTGTGAGTGCACATAGTGAATTTTCCATTTCAGCTATTATGCCTTTCAATTCCAGGAGTTTTCTTGTTCCTTGATGTTTTCTGTATTTTTATGGGTATTTTCAATTTATTAATAATCATTTTCCCAAATTTATCTGTCTTCATTTGTTTCTTGGAGCATCTGTAAAACAGTTGTTTTCAGGTTTTTGTCAAGTATTTTCCACTTGATCTTCATGAATGGTTTCGCCAATTTATTTTCTTTCTATTATTTTGTCCAGTTGTTTTATTCAGTTGAAAATCCATGCTTTGCTGTGTCTTCGTATGCCCTGGAATTTGCTGTTATGGAAAATCAGACATTTCAGTCTCACAGTGCAGTAACTCTGAAAACTAGCTTCTCAATTGCCCAAAGTTTACTAAGCTTTAAAAATTGCTGTAGTGTCTTCAGGAATCAGGCCAAGAAATAAACTAAAGGATTTTTCAGGTCTTTTCTGAGACTGTATCTTTCCCTGGGCATGTGTATTTCTAAGTTTCTTCATATAAGCAGTTTCTTTTAAATGGCCTAAACCTTAAATATCAAGCCAAACCAAGAAGCCGTCCAACAGACTCTGGAATTCTCAAATTATCACATCAGACAGTTCTGGCAGTGTAATTGTGTTCCAGGTAGAGAGATGGATTCTTCAAGTTTTCTACTCCTCCATCTTCGGACATCTCCTATATTAGATTTTATAAATCTCTTAATCAAATATTTATTATATTATTATGTTTCTTATGTTACTTTGGGTTTTTAAAAAACCTAAATAAACATTTAAAAAAGAACAAAACCAGAATTAACTCAATTCCCCTTCAATATTCCAGTGACTACAATCTTTAATTTTTTTCCAAGTTCATGAATCAATGAATACACTGTGCAATGAAAGTACTGTGATAAGTGAAATAAATCAACAATGCTGTTGTTGTATAATTGGTTGTGTGTCTTCCTTATATGTTTGGTAAGTCTACCAATGAAGCTGTCTCAGCCTGGAGGCATAAGAGATTAAAATGTTTTGATTAAGAATCTAGTACAAAAATTAGTACATTTATTATTATAAAACTTACCATTTTAGCCATTTTAAATGTACAATTTAGTGACATTCAGCACATTCACAGCATGTGATGTTATCAGCACTACCCGCTTCTATAACACTTTACCACCCCCCAAGACAACTCCCCTCTCATCCTTCCCCCCACTCCCTGGTAAACTCTATTCTATTTTATATCTCTGTGAGGTTTACAACTCTAGACACCCCACACAAGTGAAATTATACCATGTTAACCATTTTTTATTGTTTATTTCACCCAGTCTAATATTTCAAGGTTCATTCATGAGTCAGAATTTCACCAATTCCCTTGTATGTCAGCACCACACTTTGTCCACCCATTCGTTTGCTGATCACATTAGGTTGCTTGCACTTCTTTGCTGCTATGCATGTTGGTGTGCAGGCATCTATGAGTTCCTGCTTTCGGTTCTTTTGCATATGTACCCAGGCATAGAATATCCATTCTTGGAAAGGGGTATGCACAGCGTGACTCTCTTTCCAGGTACTTGATTTGGAAAGTTGGCTCAATCTGAGAAGTAGCTGAGTTGGATCTGGGTTTTATTGTTGCTCTGTTTCACTTCAGAGCACGACTGGCCCCAGCTTTCTCTGATGCTATATTGTGCATAGGCAGGTGCTCGAGTGCTAGAAAGTTTTCCTCAAGTCTCCTCTCCATCTTCAGCTTGACTTTCCTGGTGCTTCTGCACCAGTCCCTGCTCTTACCAACTTTGTTGTAGACTGTTGCTGCTCATGACTTCACATTGCTGTCCCCGAGGGAGAAGCAGAAATCTCTGTGGTCCTGGTCCAGTCTCACTCAGTGTCAGGCAGGCCAAGTGTGCCTGGGACCCCAGGGTGGAGCTGTTGCCTCTTTTCCTTGGGAACAAAAGCTCCTGCATATCCTTGACAGGTCTTGAGTGGGTTGAGTTGTCAGGCTGCCAATTAAAGTTCAATTTCCATAATTAGTACGTTCTTCAGTATTAGTATTGCATGTGACAAATTTATACTGATAAAAATACTTACAAAATTATTGTGTGCATGAAATTTAAAGTTAGCTGTGTTCGCTAAATCTGTTAACCCTATATGCTGGAGTTTTCACCTGCCCCATAGCAGGCAACATCTAATGTACTGGTCTAGGGATCTCTCCTTCCCCCAAGGATGTGGGAGTTTTTAAAATCCTTCCTCAGACAGATGCATCTTCAACCGTGCCCTGGAATTAATGCTTTCTCTTGCTTTTTCCATAGGGACTTGAAACTTTACTTCCATATATAAGTGCCCAGGGGGTCTCAGGACTCTTCTGAAGTGGCACCCTCCTCCTCCCTGTCTGCACTGCCATGGGAGGCTCCTTCTCATTCACCCAGCCAGCCCCAAAGTCTCTCTCATGAAAGTCTGATGGAAGTTTATGCGAAGAGTGTATGCGTTCCTTCCACGCTGTGCCTCTCTCACACACACTCATTACTGACCTACAGCAATCTGTTAAAAACAATTTACCTTCTTACCTACTCTTACGATATGTGGCATTATTCATCTGTGTTCTCCCACCAGTGGGCAAGCACTTGTAGCCCTTCTGTCTTTGGAAGGGCTTGACTTTCTTTGCACAAAGATAGACTATTTGGTTACCCTATGGCCTCAGGTCTGTGGTGGGCTTGACAGAAGTTATAGTTATATACGCAGTGTGATCAAAATATGGTGAGTGTTTGAATGAAAAATTATTACAGTAAAAGGTACATTGCCATTAATTTCTACAAAGTCCCCCAAATCCTCCCCCTTGCTTTAAACACACTTACACATCAATCTTGCCATTTTCTAAAGCAGTTCTGAGTCCCCTTTCCTGAATATCTTTATGAGATATGATAAAAAATATGGTGAGTGCTGCTACCAAGTGCCATCAACAGGTAGTCAGGCTTGAAAAACATTACAGCATGTCCTCATCCACTTTATCCACCAGATCTGGCTCCATGTGGCTTCTAGGTCTTCTCCAAAGTCCAAATGATCATGAAAAGTAAACGTTTACAATCAATTCAGGACATCAAGGCATCCAGGACACCGCAGCTAATGACACTCATGAGAGGAGGTCCAGACCTGCTCCACAAAGCGGCAAGAATGATGGGATATGTGTGTTTGAAACAAGGCGCATTTTGAGGGGGACTAAAGGCAATAGGTCTTTCATGGAAATAATTGTTAGAATTTAAACTTTCACTGTACTTTTCCATCACGCCTCATAGTTCATCCAGCTTTTCATCCAGTTCATCCAGAATGAATGATACTTCTTGCTTTCTGTGTGCAGACTCTGGTTCCCAGTTTACAATGGATCAGCTTTCTGATTCTGCCGCCTCATCCCGGTGCAAAGGCCTTAAGCAATTGGCAGAAACTGCATGTTAAATTCTGCATTTGGCTCTCCCCCTGGGGTGTAGATACACAGCGCCATCCTCCTGGGATGCTGGGCAGCAGCCACAAGCTCCAGTCCTCATGGGCACCCTGATTATGGGGAGAAACCCCCCCAATCCTCCCCAGGGCTACCACAGCCACCTGCACAGCCAACCCAGCATGCCCACTAGGTTAGTGGATTGTATGAATTTTCAACTTTTGATATGGTCAGTTTATGATGAGCGTGTTGGGCTGTAACCTCCTGTAGCAGGAGGAGCACATTATTTAGAACTCTTCCTATTTTTTTCTTTATAAGTGGAAATCTCAAAAGACATAAAAATAGCATTTTAAATGTGTGCTTTAGAATCTTTTCTAATTGGCCTTGCAAGACACTTTCTTGTAATAAAGAAAATGCATAGTGCTTCGTCTATGTTGTTCTCTAAATACATATCAGGGACATTTTGACCAACAATATAACCACACAAATGTTATTGCGAGGGACTTTTAGGAGGATTCGAAACCATCCTTCAGTGAGGCTGTGTCTCTTTTATACCACTTGGTTCCTGAGAGTCAGCTACCTGCTGACCACTGTTAGCATTATCAAAACTGCCAAACCATTGAAAATAAGGATGATGAGTTATTTTAAGTTATGATCTCAAACAACCACCTTTAGGGTCACTTGTGTAGTGTACATAGGCATTGAAAACTATCTTTTCAAATTATAACATTGCATAACTCACTTCCTCAAACTCTGTTGCCCATGTAAGCTGACAATTTGAAATGACAGATGGGGAAGAGACTTACCACATGCCACACACAAGCTGCTGTGCAGGGGATTAACAGGCCCGCCTTGCACTGGCCTTGACACCGACCGCTTGTTTATGGCTGACGACATGACTGGGGTGGGATTCTCAAGTCGTTTTCACCGTCACATCCATGTTCCGCGGGGAGCCTTGGACAGCGCTGTGTCCGCGCTAACTCCTCACTCCCGAACTACAATGTCCCACCACCCTTTATCTCAGCGCTGGGGAGGCTGCTGTCATCTCTCCTCAGAAGACTTTCTCAGTGCTCCCCCTTATCTTCTCATCTCCCAGTACTTTTTGTAAAAATTACTAAAATAATACGCGGTGACCTAACCACAGTGGCATGAGCTCACCACTCATACTAGGTAGAAATGTAGTTGTTTTAGGCACATTCACAATATTGTGATTTTTTTCTGGAAGACACTTAGCACAACTGAAGATACTGAGCACAACTTAGCACACTGAGTGTGCTGTATTTTCTCACAAAGCATGGCTGTCTGTTTGCTTTTGGATTACCCGGGGCACCTGAAGCTCAGGAGTCCAGGTGGTGGCAGTCATCGTTTCCCCGCTGAACCTGTTCCTCCGCCTTTGGGAGTGAGGCCACCATCCACGCCGTTTCCCAAGCCAGCAACCCAGGAGGAGTCACCCTTGGCACCTCCCTCCTCCCACATCCTACCTCCAGCTCGCCTCGCTGTCCTGTGAATCTCCTACTTCATTTTCCTCAGCCGGGACCTTCTGTCATCTACACTGCCCACTGATGGAAGGCCCCCATGATTTTTCCCCTGGTGCTCTGCCATGTTCTTCTAACTGATCTCACCCTTGCCAGCCCTGCCTGCTAGAACAACACGTCCTCTATATGGCCGTCAAGATGTCCATTCCAAACCTACGCACTTCAAAGCCTTCCCAGGGCCTCTGGGAAGGAGCCCCAACTCCTGCCATGGCCTCTGAGGAAGTTCTTTATGCGTCCCTATCTCCCATCTGCTGTGTTTCCATCTCTCCCCACTCGGCAGTCTACCCTCCAGTCTCCAAAAGTGTGTGGTCTGTCTTGTCAACAGGCCTTTGCGTCTATGCCGTCCTTGTTTGGAACAGTCCTTTCCCCATCGGATTAATGACTTTTTCCTCACAGGATGCAACCAGACAGGCAGCTGTTGGGACAGAAAGGCCTGCGTGTGAATGCTGGCTTAGCCATTTGGTGAGCTTCCCCGGCCTAATGTCCTCATCCGTATATAGAAGAAAATAGTATCAACCTTTCCGGATTGTGAGGAGGAACTAGAAATAGCCTGTAAGATGGCGTGGTGCTGAAAACAGCAACACAGGCAGTTGTTTTTACAGGCCAAATGGGATTTTACATTCTTTACTCATATTGGCTCATTTATTATTTTACCCTAGATTCAATACTGTCCTCCTCTGTGCAGCTGGTCCTGATTTTCCAAGACTTGTTAGATGATTATTTTCTGTCCCCTGCTGTGGACTCTGCTCACCCCTCACTGCCCTGCAGGTGTCCTGGAGGTTGGCACAAGGAAACACATGGTTTCAACTCCCTTGCCGGCTCCCAGGGAGGTGTGGCTTGCAGGTGAGCTCAGAGAGTGGTGGGTGAGAAGGGCGGAGTGCCTTCCCTGCCTGCTCTGGCCCAGCCATGTCTCTCCCTGTGTTCGTAGCTGGAGCTGCCACAGCAAAGCATCGCAGACTCTGTGGTACAAGCAACAGATCATCTTCTCACAGTGTGTGGCCGAGAAGCCTGAGAGTGAAGTGTCCTTAGGGCTGGCTTCTCCTGAGGCCACTTTCCAGCTTACAAATGGCATCTTCTCCTTGTATCTTATGATCCTTCCTCTGTGCGTTTGCTGTGACCTCTTCTTCTAATATCGGCCCAACCTAATGACTCATTTCACCTCAATTACCTTTTAAAGCCTGTATTCCAAATTTCATCACACTCTGAGGCAGTGGGCGTTAGGGTTTCAACACAGGAATTTGAGGGAGACACAGTTCACCCTACAACACTGCCCACCTACAGATCCACTCCGGTGGCCCCTCTGCCCCTTCCCTTGAACCCACTGGGCTTCAAACAATTTTCCCATCCTTCCCCTCTGGATCTAGGAGGTCAGCAACAGCTTTCCCGGGGTACTGGTCCCCAGGGCCTCTGTGTCCCCGCTCTGTCTGCGCTGGCACCATCCATGAGTGGAGTCCTGCTTCACCTTCATCTCACTGGCTGGATTCTGCTTCCTGCCTGGACACTGCAGAGTGCCTTTCCTGTGCGTTCCCTCGGCCACCAGCCGTCCCTGCCCCCAAAGCGTAGCCAGAGCCTCAGTTCCTTCCCTGCATCCCCTGTGGGGCTGTGAGTCCCGTGGTGGTTAAAACCATGACTTTTATTTTTGTATCTTTAGAGCCTGGGTTTCTGCTGCACACAGGCGTAGAATGTTCTCTGTATAATCTCATCTTTGACTAAGTGTCCCTTGCCCACCATTCTCTCCGGTCTCATTCCTTTGGCTTCCCAGCACATCACTCCTGGGCTACAGACTTGGGTTCCCAGCAGATCTCATCACTCCCCTGCTTTATGGTTTGCGTCAGCTGTCCCAAAGAGCCTCTTGGACTCAGAAGTGGGGCTTTTGGAAGCTGATTGGATTAGAGGGCTTTTAGCTAATTGGCTGTTAGGAGGTGGGCCTGGTTGGAAGAGGCCAGTCACGGAGGTGTGGTCTAGAAGGATTTGTCTGGCTCCCCAGCTCCTCCCTGTTCTCTGCTTCTGGACCACATGACATGAGCACTATCCTCCAGGAGGCTCCTCTGCCTTGTTTCTTCTTTGGAGCCAGCCAACCATGGCCTGGAAAGTGAGCCAAAGTAAACCTCTCCTCCTTTAAGACGTGGGTATTGTGTGTCATCAGCTAGAAAATCACTAAGATGCCTGCCTTTAGCCCTGCCCCAGTTTACTGCTGACAGATTAATCTCCCCATCTGCCCCTCCTCACCACCCGTGGCCCAGAACATCCCCATGCTCACGTACCTCTGCCCAGAGGAAGTGGTTGTCGCCCTCCATGCCTCCAGTTGGAATTTTACCCAGCCTCTGGAGGCTGATGTTCTAAATCATGTCACAGTTAGTGAAACACAAACAGGAGCCGAGATAAAGCCTGAAGGCTCCAGGCTGTGCCACGTGAAAACCCATCCATTGCTGGGAAGCAGGAAGGCAGCAGGGGGATGCTTGGTGACAAGAGGGAACCTGGAACAGCACACCGTTTCTGATTCTGCTTATTTTGAGTGTCCCCGAGAAATCACTTCATGCCTCCATATCCAAGTTGCTTAGACCGGATGATCTTTAAGGGCCGGTCTAGTTCTACGGTTTGATTTCAAGGTATACCAAATTTGACTCACCAATTGGCTAATTACCAACCTGTATCTTTTGAGGCCAGATTTTCATCTAGAAAGGAAGAAGAAAAGGTTCCCTACATAAGACTGAACATTTATATAATGTTCAGTTATACAACAAACATTTATGTAATGGTCATGTCTATCTAATTATGCTTCTTTTACTGTCTATACTGTAGTCTTTCTAAATCCTAAAGACCTTACTCAGAAATAGTTCCTTTGAGGAGCCCATAAAGGGAGAGATACAGGTGAAGATGGCTCAGGTGGAAAGCCTTTGGTTTATGAGCAAGAGCACCCGGGAGGCTCATGACACCTGTGCCAGTCCCCTCATCCCAGCCCCTTTGGAGAGGATGATGTATAAACCCAGCACCCAGAGTACGGCACAAGCTGGTGACCCCAAGTGACAGAAGTCAAAGATCCAAATTATCTGCTCCGCATGGGTGACTAAACATCTCAGAAATGAGAAATGCTACAAATGAAAAAGAATGGAGCCTGGAGGGTAGTTCATGGGCTGAAGGCAGCCAGGGGGTAGGGATTTCAGAGCAGCACAGGGTGGTTACTGAATATATCTGTGCACCCAGCCCCTCCACTTTTGACAATCTAAAAGCTTTTAGGTGACTATACCTTTCTTTTTCAAGATGGTATTTCAAGCACCGTGATCTCAACTTAACGATGAGTCACACAGCTCTTACAGCTTTTCTGAGATGGTTTCAAGGGAAAGCATTCAGATACAACCTGACACGCCTGCTGATTTGTGCTGGGAAAGATCCAAATGTATTCTCTCTGTGGAGAAATATTGACATTGACTTTCCTTAGCCAATATTTCCCT